AGTGGGGCTGGGACAGGCCCTGCTCAGCTGGAACAGGGTGGGGCACAGGATGGAGCTGTGGCTTGTCTAGGGGATGTGGGGTGTAGGGGGGCGGCAGCTCCTGCTGCTGCACACACCCCCGGAGGGCATGGGGGGCGTGTGCCCTCTGGATCTGTGCAGGGTGTGTCCAGGTTGCCACTGTGGGCTTGGGCCAGGTCTTTGCAGGACCCTTCCCAGCAAGGGCTGGGCCAGGCTGCGCTTGGGGCGGGTGGCTGTGGTGGCACTAGGAGGGAGCGTATGGGAAGAGCTGCAGTCACTCCAAAATTTGCTGTAGCCCCCCCGCCCCTCCACTCCCCCCGAGCGCAGCCCAGCCCAGCCACCACCAGGATGAGCCCAGTGCAGACCTGGCTCCAGCCTGCAGCGGCAGTTTGTCCTCGCCCTGTGCACAGAGCCAGGGGTCACACTCCTTCCATGCCCACACGGGGTGTGCTCAGCGGCAGGAGATGCTTCCCCCTGGATGAGCTGTGACTCTGTCCTGTGCCCCACCCCATCTAGGCAGAGCCTGCACCAATCTTACTTCCTCCCATGATCTGCCCCCCGCCGCCATGCCCCTTCCCTCCTCCCACAACAGACTTACCCACTGGTTGCAATTCTCCAAGCTGCCAGGCTGTGCTCCTTGCTGCCTACATCCTGCACGTGGCTACATACATGTTCAAGGCATTTATCGGCCAAACAATTGGCCACATTAGGCAAAAAATGCTGATTTCTAATATAGTCAATCTTCTTTATATCACTGCCAATTCAATATCGGACCGATGCATCAGTGCACCTCTAAATGCAACACTTCTCTTTGTGAAATACATGGTATTAGAACAAAATTATGAGAATTATGATGAAATACTTACCTGGAGAATCACAAAGTCTAGTGGCAGAACAGTGCTCACCTGTTTTGTAGTGGATGCTTAATATACTGTTCAGGACTGGCAACCTCCTGAGTAGGTGCTGTCTCAGTTTTTTCTTCTTCTGAAGTTTGAGGGTTGGGAGTGGTTTCCTGCATTAATAAAAAAAAATTCCGAATTATTACTTCTGTCTTTCAATTTCGTTTTGCAGGCATTACCCCTTCACTTCCACCACCCAAAGAATAAGAGGTTTAGGTGCCCTCTCACCCTTTTCTGATTAGCAGTCCAGGATCATAGCACCCAAACACATAACTTGAAATACCTGCAACTGGCTACTCATCAACATATTCTTGATCTTAGGAGATCATAATATTCGTGTAATTTTGCTCACTGGGGTTTTTTTTTTTTCCAAACCCACTTTTATTCTACTGTAGTTTTTCACAAGCTAGAATGGACTAATACCTACTATTAGTATGTTTTACATGCCAGAGTTCAAGGAATGTGCTTTTTACACCGTAGATTTAAAATAATTAATACACAGCCCAGATTTAAGTAATTAGTGATTCTTAAGCTCTCAGCCATGCCAAAACTACAAGGAAAAGCAGGTAAGAGGATGACATGATTTTAAGTCCAGTATTGATTATTATTGGAAAGTAGATACCCTCAGCTTTATAACGTATAAAATTAGTTTTTGGCCTTAAACATCAGAGAGCTTTAGGACTACCACTGGCTCAAGACTAAACTTTACAATACTATATTTCACGAAGTGTCATTTAAAACGCTTGTATTCCAAACATAAAATTAAGCAAAGCAGTGTGCGCTAAATGGTAGTATATTCTTAACTAAAAGTAATGCTCAGATTTTAAAATGTACTGTCACAACAGCTTAGAACACAATATTTCCAACTGCTACTGAAACAGGTTCCTTGATTCAAAACATCATTCTGCACTGGTATTAGGAGAATATGAACAAAAACAAAAAACCACACAGTGCCTTTTAAATGGGATATGAAAAGTAGCCCGCATCAGAGGGAAATTCAGGTTGTGTTGCTGCTAAAGCTTGCAGCTGAATTCCAGAACTATGGTGTGGCATTTGAAATTGTAATGTCATTCTGTCAGACCTTCAGGAAGCACAAAGCTTTATTGTCAGACCAACTGTTTCCCACAGTTACTGCCATTCCCCTTCATTTACAATCCTTGCTAGAACACTACAGAGACAAGGAATGAAGGACACAGTTCATTCCCTACATTTAACACAAACAAAGCTATATACAGCTGATTCTGCACAACAGACAGCACTTTAGTAGCATTCTACATACACTGCAAATCCTACCTACAATATGCCAACATGTTCTATACAGTCCTAAACTCAATAGTACAAAATTAGGATTAAAAGCTAAGAATTTAGATTTTGTGGTTTTAGTGGAATAAGAGCAGTGTTGAAGTGATCAAGTTCAGCTACGGAAAGTCACCTAATTAAAAGAAATGCTCTGCTCACAAATCTTCAAGAGTTCCTTATAGTTCAGCAGCATCTGAACGATAAAGTAGATTTGAAACAGCAACATGAACAATCATGTGCAAGTCTTGCCAGTGCCAAGCAAGTTTTGTCAACAGGCATCTGAATACAACCAATGCAATCATCCCCGTGTTTCTATTACACTATTAAACTCTACAGACCCTGACACTAACACACCATTTTGTGTTATTTTGTAAACTTTATATGTAATTAGTCCTAAGAATCAAAAACAATGTTACTTCAATAGTACAAGTAGCACTTCAGTTTTGAACATAAATATTCTAATCCTACCCTATGCAAAATGTTTTTTGATAGGGCAGTGATTCTTAACTAGGGCACTACAACACCGTGGGGTGCTGTCAGATCCTTTTAAGGGTGATGCAGGGTGTGAACATCTATACCACTGGCAAGAAAATCAGATAAAAAGAAGTCCAAAAACACCGTGAAGAAACAGTGTAAAAAACATTCTGACCTGTTGTGGCATTTGAGCTCTTTGTAAAAAAATTGCTCAATTATTTTTCAGTAGTCAAAAAACAAAGTGAAAGCTAAGGGCTGACATTTTTAGAGGGGTCTAAAAAAGTTGAGAACCACTACAACAGGGTATTATGCAAGAGTGACATGACTGAAATTAGATTCCAGTATTGAAGGTGCCAATATTTAAGACTTCACTGTTGATTCAAACACAGATATTTTACATTCCTGCCTTTACTATTTACTATTTTACTAGTATTGTATTTACTCGAATACAAGATGAACCTAAATATAAGATAAACCCCCACCCCCAATAATTAGATTCTATATATAGAAAATGTATTTGTTAAAATGTTCCAGGTATAGAATCTATTTATTGAGATGTCTTGAATTTGTCCCCCTTCCACTGCTACAGCGGGGAAAATAAATCTGGGGGAGGGACCCCCTTATCCCCTGTCCCTCACTTCTCTCCGTAGACCCTTTCCCCCCTTCCCTACTGTCAGACCCTGCTCTCCACAAGCACACTGAAGTGAGGGACACATTTGAAAATGCTACCCATGAAATAAACATGCCTGTGTAGTCACAGACTTAGTTTTAGCACAGGTACTCTATGAACACACTTTTAAGCAGCACTCCTGTACCTACCTATACATGGTACAAACTAATATATAACACAGACTAAAGGCTCAATTACAGACCTACAAAAATCGTGGTGCAAGTGCACAGCAGCTCCTTTAATTCTGCAGTTTCCCCCGCACCCCCCCCACTGTTGATTGGTGGGGGGCCCCACTGCTCACTTTTGAACGGCAGGGAGGCAAAAACCATGTTTTTAAATATGACTTGGTTTTTGCCTCAAGCTGCTGATTAGCCAAGGGGCCCCAGCAGCCTTGCTGCTTGTTGTTGACCAGCTGGGAGGCAAAAGCCAAACCATATTTCCCTACTCATGATTTACCATTTAGTTGTTTGGGCTGGGCCCCAGAGGCAACAACATTTTAAGCCATGGTGACCCTACAGCTCAGCACTGCTCAATGTGCGCGTGTAATAATCCAGATTTCCCCTACCCCCACAGGATCCATGTGCTAATTAGCCCCTCAGTCATAACTGAAACTGTGTTCTTGTCACGAGTCCTGGGATTCTCCAAAAACATATACACAGATGAGGCACAGGGCAATGTTGTCTGGCTACACCTCATGGAGAGTGAGGTCACATTAATCATATCGGACAAGCTGACAGAGAATGGTGACAGAAGGGCTCTGGGTGAACTGTTTGGGGTCCCCGTTTGTTGCCATTTAAGACTGATGAAGGAACAGGAATCACTGGAAATGGGAAGGAAAAGCACAGCTCAAATGTGGGTGTGAAGAGGAAAGTCTAAATGTCTTCAATGTGGTAGCTCACCACGATTTTAGAAGAGCTGGCACTGAGAGGGACTAAGCAGACCACCATTTCTCATATAGACATTCAATGTAATCTTGTCAAAATTCAAGGGTGAGAAGTCAGTTCACTTTTACACCTGCTGTTAGAACCCCTTTCCCTCATTAGCCCTTCCCGTTTAACTCTTTCCTTAGTGTGTAGTGTAATAGTTGCATTTATTTTAAGAATATTTTTCCGCCTTGGAGCTGTGTAAAAGATGCATAGAAAGAGAAAACATTATATAGTGGAAACTTTGAAGTGACAAGTAAGTTGCTAAATGTACCAAGTGAACTACACACTTTCACATTTTAGGGGAATAATAATCATGTCAGATAATATACCTGTAACAACAACAGTAAGTAAAGAATATTCAGGCACTGACACTTTAAAGGGGTTGCTTGTAATTATTTCTCTTATAATTAAATACAAAGAGAAACAGACTTATTTGTCCCCAGCAAAACCTTGTCTATTATTTAGAAGTGGAAAGCAGGTTCCAGGTTTGGAAAAAAACATTTCCTCCTCCAATATTTATTATTACATAGAAATAGAACTTTGACCCAAATGATGACCTCCATAACTGAGAGAATTTATTGCATGTCACACCAATAGAAAATTCTGAAAAGCCTTTTCCCAGTAAGCTACCCACAGCCAGCTACTTTTCTCTATGTATCAGTGCAATGTTGGCTGGAAAGGTGAATGGCAACACAAAAAAGTTAGCAGGGAAGCAGAAATTATGCAGCCCTTTAAGGAAAATTAGTCACAAACTTATCTGCCTACACTATTTCTGGTAACCATTTCTATGGACCAAGATTGAATGGAAAAAGCTCCACCTGACAACCTATCACATCAGGTTTTGCCATCTGACAGTAACTTTTTGGTAACTAAAGTTACATTAGTATTTTCAAAAAAAAAAAAAAAAAGTTTTAGGTTGTGATCCTTTACGGCTACCTGAAGCCACAACTCCCCAACAATTGCTGCCTGATGACCAACTTCAAAGGCCCAGCAACAGCCAACTGCAGACCCATGTGACACTTGCCTACACAACTGCCTCAAAACCTAAACAAATCAGTTAATGAGATTTGGTAAGCAGCAAGACACATTCTGTGTTGCTGCACACAGCATAAATTTTGAAAAAGTGCATTCCACCAAACCTGAAGGAAAGATGTCTGCTTCCAAGCACTTCTGAGAATGGCTTCACATACCTAGAAATTTAACCGAATTACAGCAGTTTAAGCCCAACACAACTACTATTAAATGGACCAAAACAGGAAAAGAGTTATTCCAGGGTAAGAATCTAAGGCTTTGTTCATTAATCCTACTTGTTTGAGTTTCTTTTAATTTTTCACATTCCTTATGCTCCTCAGACCATCAGCCCAAATGTTTAAACCATACAGCATCTCCCATTATTAATAAAATGTGAAGTATACTAAATCAGTTCTTTTGGAATTCAAAATCCATTTCTGGTGGGCAACATGCTCAAAATATTAGTATTTTATAGTTAATTATAACTGTTTTAATACAAATTTTTAAGTACTCTGATTTATATGCATTAGATTGAACTGTTAAATCAAACTGTACGTGATCAAGAGCTAAAGTCCTAAAAACTGTATTTGAGCAAGTATCACTACTGAAGATTGTTTTCAAATTATTTTACTGTTATTCATGAATAAATATATTTCTTAATCTAAAATTAAGTTTGGGATGGAGGTAAGCATCTTTTAAATTTTATTTTCACTAACTTACCTTTTTCTGTACA